TTTATAATATACTTTTCAAACCGATCTAATTCTGGTCAAATTTGCTGATCATTTGGCCCTTGGTTTATCAGTTTAAATAAAACTGATAAGCCAAAGCCAAATAATCCCAGAATTAGTAGCATCTTCAATTTTCATATGACGAATGGTTCAATTCCGAGATATTCCGTCTAATCGGGCTAATCCGTGTTGATTTCTTTTAGTTTGACTAGCTAATCGATGAATTTAGTCACATATATAAAAGATCGATTAGTTGCAACTATAGTTGGCAACTAATCGATTGGCAAAATTTTTATCAACTAGAAACACTAGCGCTAGTTTGGGTTTAAAGTTAAAGGCGGATGTTATAAGTAAAATTGCCTCTCCGACATTTTTTATTAGTGCCCTGAGATAGGTTTAGATAACCGTTTTTCGTGTTTCTTGCGATTTCACTTTTGTTTCTTCTTCAGTCAGTCAAAAATATACTAAAGCGTATAAATAAGTTACCCAGGCAATTGAAAGTCTATGACTCGTCCCTCGTAAGTCGTGTTACGTGACACCGATTAAACCGTTTTTACTTTAATTTAACGTCAAAAAAAATTTCACTTAAGATTTTAATTTCATTTCATCACTTATAATATATGGAAGACAATTCTAATCCCTTTAAAACCTCACAAGAAAATAATGTAAAATCACAAAAACTTTCAGTTTTACTTCCTCACGATTCTTCAAGTAGCGCTAAATCCGTCTCTGACCGTTCTAGTCCGTTATCTGAAACCCGTATAAATGCTTTAATTCCAGAAATAACTCAACTAAAATTGAATAAATCATCAGACGACGACGATGAATACATGATTGAATTAAAGCTGAATGAAGGCAATAATATGCGTTGTTATACCTATGATGAAGAGGTACCTGATTTACCAAGTGATTTGGTAATTAATGACGAAAGTTCTTCAGGATCCAAAAATTGTGGTCTGTCAAGCGATCAAGCATTAGAGTAAGTTGTTTTTATCATCTATTTACTTTTTACAATCATACTTATGCATTCTTCTATACACATTTATAGAAAATTGGTTAAAATAGCAAATGACATTCTTGATGAACACAATTCTCCATTACAAACTAGCAAACGTATGTTAATTTTATAAGTGTTTAATAAGTTTTTCTTCTCATTCTAATTAATAACTTTTAAACTTGTTACCATTTAGACCTTTATGAATTCCTGTTCCGTCCAGATACTATTCTTACTTTAATATCTGTTGTTTTTTTGGTTATGTTTTATATATACGGCGCCATAATGAGTAATCCTTATCAATTTCGCTTAAATACGATTTTGTTTGAGGCAATTGTAATTTTTTCGTTTTTGGTGTTCAATGGATTTCTATGTATTAGAGAAAAAAAGCTAATTTCTTTGGAAATTAATGAGCGTGCAAAGAATATTGTTAATCAATTAAAACAAAGTGGAATGAATACTATTCAAGTATGTTTTATATATTCATAATAATAAATGTGTATAAAAATTTTTTAATTAAATAATTTTAAATTTTTACTTGATTTAGGATATTAAAATACCTTTTGTTCCATCACTTACAGTCGCCAAAGTTGTACGTGATGGACTTGTACGAAGTTTTCCAACAACTTTATTGGTAGAAGGTGACATTGTAGAAATGTTATACGGTGATATTGCCCCATGTAGAATGAAATTGATTTCTGATAATGTCCCAAAAGAATTTTCTGTAAAACAATTGGAACTATCACAAGTTTTTAAACCATCATTTTTTAGTGGAATGTCATCAAAAGATTTATGGGAGATGCATATTAAAAATAAAGGAAGATATCAATTTGTCCTTTTGGAAACTCCATGGTCAAATTGTTTAAGGGCTGTATTGAAACAAAAGCGACCTGCAACAATCATTGCAAAACAAGCTGAAATTTTGGACCGAGTCTTTCTCCATTGGCTGATATTCGTCATACTTGGAGTGACTTTAGTAACTAACCTTATAAGATACATATTAAATGATGGGATAAGAAATTATCATTATGATCAAGCATTTGAAATATTGTTAGTGTTGCCGATATACTCGATTATTCCAATAATTCCATTAGCATTTCCAATATTATGGATTATTACGCGTAGTTTTGCAAATGCAACTTTATTGGTTTTATTTGAAGACTTACAAATATCCGAAACTGAATATGAAGAATATGATGAGATGGATGAGTTTGATGCAGATGCACCTCCACCTACGAAAAACGTTCAGATTGATAGAGGTTCACTTAATACTTTTAAATTTTATAATTTATTTATCTATTCATGATTTTATATACGCGTATATATATTTATTTATTGGTAGCCGCTGTATGGAATAAATTTCAACATTTATTCACTGCACGAGATGGTGAATCACTTTATCGATCAACAAACTTGTTTGAGTCGCTTGGAAGCGCTACGGTTATTTGTTCACTTGACCGTGAAGGTACTATTTCATCGGTATGTCATTGTTTACCGATTTACGTGAGAATCTCGGTTCTTTATTGTATATTTCTCAAAACTCATTGATAGAATTAAACTATAGCCATTTGGTAAGTCTTAATAATTTGATAAGAATTTTATAATAATTTTATACTGTGTTTGTAATAATAATAATAATAATAACTATTTATTAAAAATTTCAAGCATCGGTTGATCAAATTTTGTTTCCAAACGAAGAAGAAGATATAACAGTTCTTGACATAGCAGAGGATCCAAGTACCTCTTTTCGTGTTAAATTTGAGGACCAGGACTGGGACCAACATTTATCGTATGTAAAAAAAGAATTTGTTTATTTGTTATTATTGGTTATGATTTACATTTATCATAATTTTCTAGTCGTCTTAAACCTCTTGGTCTTAATCTTTTGTTAAACACAAATTGTGGTGTGTTACAAGGACGAAAACGCGCAGAACAACATAGGAAAAATTCTAGCTTTCACATTCAAGCTAAGATAAAACCTGCAAGACAATGTTAGCCATAATCATATATAATTTATTCATGTCCTAATTCTATATAAATAACCTTTTTAAATTTATAATATAGCATGTTTATGCCGTCTTGGTAAAGAAATTGGATTTACCGATGATGCTCTACAATCTTTTATAAAAAGAAAAGAAATATTTGTAAATGCGCCATGTCATCCGTCATTAAAAGATCGCATAACAAAGGATCAATGGGAAGTTCCTAGCATGAATTCCTCGATTTACGAAGAACTTAATTCAGGTACGTTTTTTTCTTTATCTTAATTAATTACCATTTATAAAATTTACAATTTTTGCATTTTGTTAGGAAGTTGCCAATTACTGTCTGATGGAAATTTGGAGATTATACTTGATAACTGTTCCGATTATTGGAATGGTCAAGGACTGCAACCCATGAGCGAAGTGGTCAGTTAATGATATAATTAAAGGTTTTCTTTTTTTCTAACATTTACACTTAATAATTTATTTAATATCTGTAGATTGAAAACAAGATTTATGATTTTTATCAAAATGCTATTATTAATGACATGCAATGTGTTGCATATGCATATCGTCCAATAAATGTTGTAAATGGAAATAAAATCCCATTTTTAAACTCGACTTCATCTGATTCAGGTGATACTTATATTGTATTGCCAAGTCCACAAGAGGCTGAACTTATGTCTGATTCCGAAGATTCCGAAGATCAGGATCTCTCCTTGTCTCAATTAGTTAGATTACATCGCCTGAAAAATGGCTTATTGGAAGCAAATCTCCATGATTTTTCATTTGACCAAGAGAACACAACTTCTCAGGATGAAGAGTTGTTTTATCAGGATGTTATTCAGGGACAGATTTTCCTGGCAATGGCAACACTTTGTCATCAGCCTAAACCAGTTAGTTTTTTTTTTTACATTAGAAATAAATTTAAAAATTTTGAAGTAAATGTTACAATGACTTTTATATATGCTAGGATGTATGCAATTTCATTGAAGATCTTAGATTAGCTGGTATTCGATTTGTTTATTTCTCATCTACTGCCGAAAGAGAAAGCAAAGGTTTGATAAGTTTTTAACCATTCCCCCGATTTAAACAAAATATGTTAATCATTTTAAATCACAAATTTAAAGCATATGCAGAAAGACTTGGCCTTGAGACAGATTGGAATACCTGTATTTTACTTTCTTCACCCGGTGATGAAAATTCTTTTGGAGATGGTTATTTGGAATCTCATGACATAAAAGCTCGTCTTCCACGTGGGATAGTTAATATAAGGGATCATTTAATGGTATCAAAATTTTAGGTTAGTTTTTTTTTCATTCTTCAGGATTTAGAAATTGATTAACGTTATATTTTAAAGGAGACAGACGATATTCCGCTGCAAGTATCCTTGTTTTCAGAATGTACACCTGAAACAACGCAAGAAATGATTAAAATATTCCAAGAATACGGAGAGGTTGTGTGTTGCGTTGGAAGTGCATTGAACGCTTTTAATACACATAGCTTTGCTGTGGTATGAATTTGATTGCACACACATATATAAAATGATTTTAGGTTTTTCATGCGTGATTTTTTGGGCCACATTCAGGCAGATGTAAGTGTTGCTATTGAACCTATGCACACACGTGCACAAACAAAGAATGGGCTATGTCACTTAGGTAAAGGGCGGTCTCCTATGGCTCTTGGTGCGGCGTTCACAACTTTGCCATGTGGGCTATTTATGCATGATGATACAAGTCTGTATGCTCTCACCGATATAATACGTGAATCTAGGCGATTAATTAATGGTCTGAGAATGGTAAGTATTATTTATTTAACCATTTATTTAAGTACAAAGTCTTAATATTATTTATAATATTTTGTAGGGAGTGTCATTTATGAGTGGCACATATCTTTCTATCTCGCTCTTATTTGTGTTATCATACTTTCTTTTCCTACCACCCATATTTACCGGATATCAAATATTATGGGTTACGTGCATTATTTCACCTATGCTAGCATTTTCATTTCTCTTTAGTCCTCATGTTACAGATACTATGACAACAATGACAGGTTTGACATTATTAAATAATTCCTTAATTAAGAATTATCATTTTATTAATAGTGCTATATATATTGCAGTTAAAAATATTGATCATCTTCCCGATTTGCCGAGATTTTTTTGTTATTTCATATTAAGATTTTCATTGCCGGTGTTAATGTCTCTTTGCATGTTTGCGCTGTGCGTAAATTTTACAAACAATTGGTTATTCTACTTGTTCTTACTAATTGATATATATATATATATATGTTTATTTAGGTGTCTAAATTATTTCGGTAATGTGACTTTATACGGACCATTTGGAAATGAAGGATGGCTGAGATGGACTCACGAACAACAATGGGTACTTATATATGCACAAAATTATACATTGTTTACATTCGTATGGTCTTTAGGTAAGAACAGACTTTAGATCGATTATTATTATTATTATTATTATTATTATTATTTTAAAGAAAAAACAATCTAATTATTTTGCTTGCTTAATGTGATTTAAGCTTGTATATCGTGTACTTTTGTAAACCGCACATTATCATTACGTAAATTCAATCCGCTGTGGAATCATGTATGGATTTTTGCTTTTATTGCAAGGTATTATTTGAATTATATTACTTAATTATATTTGGATCATTATATATGTTAATGCTTTGCAATTTTAAAACCAAACAGCATAATTTTACAAGCAATATTTACCACGATATCGCTAATGCTAGGACCAACAAAATTATTACATAAATTACCCTACTATATTTACCTAATTTCATTATTGACACCAATAATAGTGTTCATACCGGTACAGGAGTTGGTCAAAATGCACGATAAAAATGAATATGATAGGTTTCAAAAAAGATCCAAATTGTTATTCAAGTATGTATTAAAATTTATAATTTTCACGTTTATGTATATGTATCTAATATTTGATTTCTCTCCCTTATGACAAATCAGTACAAAATTGGGAATGCATTCTCCGGTTTAGTATGCGTCCTAAAATTATGAACATTTATGAATCGAATTATTTGTAATTAAATATGTACGTATACTTTTGTAATAGAACTTTTTTTTAATGATATCGATATTTGATTTTGACTATGAAGATATGCAAATATGAAATGCTAGATCTAAATAGGAATTTGATTAAATTATTTTGCTGAATGATAATTTTTGATTATGATTAGAATAACTGAATTTCGCATTCGCGTGTATTATGTACCACGTGCGTGTACTATGCCAATGCAATAGATCAAGTTGTGATCAATCAGAATATACTCGTCTTAGTAACTCTAATATACAGGGTGTTTGATAAGTCCCTAAACAGGACCTTTTTGTTAATTGAAGTTTTCTTTTTACTAATAAAAAAAATAATCCTGATAATTAAAGTGGTTAACAAACAAAAAGGTTACGTCTAGGGACTTATCAAACACCCAGTGGTTTGGAATTAGCTTTATGAATAAAACCAGTTACAAACTCTATACTTTAAGTTAGTGCTTGGATGTGTTGAAAAAATCTATCATATAGACATCCGACCATACATATTTCTTTGATACCCATTATATCATCCGAAATAGCCGATTTTGATTTTTTTTGGAAGGTCGTCTAGAGTAGAGGTCTGCATTGTTCCGTGGCCGGGCCTAACAATTATATTTTGTAAATTCGGGCTAAAAAATTGTGATATATATATACACCTGAAGTTGTATATTAAAATATAGGAATTGTTAATTTATTGCACGGTGTCATACAAGAAAGGCTAGCCATGGCGGAAAAAAACCATCCCAGTGGAACCAACAGAATTTCACCGCTTGATTAATGATCATCACCGTGGCTAATCCACAGAAAGTCCGACGTGACTTAAAAGATAAAATTAAAAACATAACGATAATAAATGTCGCGGATCATAATTTAAAATGAAATCTACATTTTCTACTCAACCTGTTAACCTTCTAAAACCCACTTATACTTGTTTATGATAACTTCACTTTAAAGCTAACCCCTAACCCTAACCCTAACCCCTATCCCTAAAAATGCACCCAAAAAAAATTTATTTTTCGAGATTTTATACGTATTATAATTTCATTTTGATCTGGATTTCATTATGATCCGCCACAATAAATAATTATTACATATTGTTATTAAAAAAATATAATTTATTATGCCTTAAATAGTCGAAAAAATAATACGTACGTACGTAAATAATTAATTATTACGTACGAAAATAATAATAAATTTTTATTATGTATTAACAATTTACGAAACAAATACCGGTAATATTGCTTTTGCAATATATATTAATTGAACAAAAAAAAATTCGCCTTATTTAAATATCTTGTTAACAAGGTTCGTGTTAATCAAATACAAGTAACAAATTAAATAAATTATTAATTTATTGCAAAATTATTTATCGTTAAGAATAATTTAATTTATTGCTACGTAAGAAATGCGTATTATCGCTAATATTTAACATAAATTGGTTGCTAATAATGATTCACAATCATATAAATCTAAGCCAACGTCGGAATTTAAACTCTCAATGTTGTACAAAAAATTCGCAAGCAAAATTTGCCTGCCTGCGAGACTCTTGCAGGCAGATAATTCAATTGACATTATCTGCAGTTGTCTCTGCTAATTTTATTGGGTAGATACACAGCCACATGATTCATAAATGTTTAACTCAACTCTTAAATCTATATCAGATATCGATATATGATACGTAACGAAAAGATTATCTGAAAAAACATGAATATAAATCACATGATTGTTAATTTTTATCCGCAATGAATGTCACATACGAACGCATTAATTTTTAACATGACTATTCAGGCATCTCGTTCACTGTTAAAATTATTAATCCAAACACCGTTATTATCTCTATCAACAAAAAGATATGCATTGGTATTTATTTGCTAAAAAAAAAATATCACCTGCCGGATTTTCAAAGCCAAATCTCAATTTATATATAAATCTTTTTCTAGCGAACGTCCAATATACTGCACTTGAATCAGAAAGCATACAATTCATATGGAAATAGTGACGAATATTCCTTTCTTAGCCCAATTCCAGAGGCTCAGCTTCGATCAAAGTTACCTCGAAATACTGTGAGTTTCTTTTTTTGAAAGCAAATTATCTAAAAAATTAACTGTTATTAAATAACATTTTTTTTATAGATTATCAATTTCGTTCCACAACAAGAAGCGTGGGTTATAGAGCGATTTGGAAAGGTTACTTTTTTGTGAACACTCACTATTCTTTTTTGAGGCAAAATGATATTTATTTTAGTGAAAACTATCAGTTTGATCGAATTTTACCACCAGGTCTGGCTCTTGTTATTCCATTTATCGAACGAATAAAGTACGTTAAAAGTCTTAAAGAAATTTGTTTAAATATTCCTACCCAAAGTGCTATAACACAAGGTTTGACGATCCACCAATTACGTAAATCGAGAGAACATATCGTTTAGTCACAATCTGATGTTTCTTTTTTATCTAGACAATGTTACACTAGAACTTGATGGTGTATTATATATAAAAGTCATTGATCCATACAAGGTAGCAAACTCCCATTTATATATTATCAGACTTTTCGTTTCGTATCTTGGTTTCATGTAAATTTTATAGGCATCTTATGGCGTTGAAGATGCCGAATATGCAATCGCACAATTGGCACAGACAACGATGCGGGCTGAAATTGGTCAAATGACCTTGGATAGAACATTGGCGGAGCGTTCTCACTTAAATGCAAATATAGTTTCCGCAATTAATAGTGCTGCAATAGATTGGGGTGTCGAATGTTTAAGATACGAAATACGTAAGTAAAATGCCCGGTATACATATATACATACATATATATATATATATATATTTATATATTTATATATTGAATTAATTTAAATATATATTCTTTTGATAAGGTGACATTAAACCACCTGAAAAGGTTGTGGAGTCTATGCATTCTCAGGTATCTGCTGAGCGGTCCAAAAGAGCTTCTATTTTAGAATCTGAAGGTCCGTCATAATATTTGGTTATTACGACTTTTTAAAATTTATAGAATATGAAATTTATTTGAATTAATCTTAGGCGCGAGACAAGCTGCCATTAACGTTGCGGAAGGTACAAAAGAATCTGTGATATTAGCCTCAGAGGCTGAAAAAGCTGAACAAATAAACAAGGCGTCCGGTAAATTTAATTATATTATAATTATATTAGTTAATTTCAGCTTCATTTAATGTTTAGTAAATTAACTATTGTCTCTCAGGTGAGGCTGAAGCTATTCTTCTTCGTGCTGATGCTACGGCTGAAGGTATTCGGCGAATTGCTTTGTCTATAAAAGAAAGTCATGGTCCTGAAGCAGTTGCTCTCACCGTTGCTGAAAAATACGTAGAAGCTTTTGGACAACTTGCTAAACAAGGCAATTCTGTAATTGTACCAGCTTCCGTCAGTGATGCTGGATCAATGATTGCTCAGGTATTCATAGGGACTATTCATTTTCATGTTTTGTGAACAAATTGTTTTAATCTTTATTTATTTATTTATTTATTTTATATTTTTATATTAGGCTCTGTCTATATATAATACTGTTATGAAACAAGAAAAAAAAAAAACTGAATAAAATGTCAATCTTAAGTTGAAGAATCGAAATTTACGTTGGAGCTTTATAAATGAGTTACACAAAGATGTGTAAATAACCACATGATACTATATTATTCTAATAAAATATAAATAAATCATGGACACAATTGACAGAATCTTAATTGTTTGTTTAACAGACTGTTTAAATAATGTTAAACTTAAATATACAATGAAAAATTATTATTCTGGTAAATGTTCGCTCAACCAACGTTCGCATTCTAATGCAGCCATACACCCAGAACCTGCACTTGTGACCGCCTGCCTGTATCTCTTGTCTTTCACGTCACCCGCAGCGAAAACACCATCTACGCTCGTACAAGTACTGTCCGGTTCAGTGATAACGTAACCGTCCGAATCTAACTTTAATTGTCCTTTAACCAAATCAGTAGCTGGTACATGACCAATTGCATAAAACAGACCATTTATCGGCAAATCTTTTATTTCACCGGTTTTAGTGTTCTTCGTAATCAAAAGATTTAGTACATTTCCATCACCCTTGCATTCAATAGCAATAGTGTTCCAAAGCACTGTAATATTTGGATTTGAAAGTAATCGATTCGCCATCACTTTTGATGCTCGAAGTTTGTCTCGACGAACTAATACAAATACATGTGATCCAAATTTTGTAAGAAATGTAGCTTCCTCAGCGGCAGAATCACCACCACCAACTACTGCAAGAGGTTTGTTACGGAAGATAGGTAATGCCCCTTTAAAAATCATATGTTCAATTAAATATGATGTGACACAGAAAGACAAATTATACTTTGGTTTTAATTACCATCACAAACAGCACATGCAGAGATTCCTTTTTGCCAATATATCTCTTCTCCAGGAAGATTCAATCTTTTTGCAGCTGCGCCTGTTGCAATAATAAGTGAATCAGCAGTATCAGGCTCTTTATCTTCATGATTTTCACGCCAAAATTTAAATGGGCGCGTTGAAAGATCAACTTTTGATACAGTTTCAGTGATTATTTTTGTGCCAAATCTAATGCTTTGTTCCCGAAATTTATCCATCATTTCCCCTCCCATAATTCCTTCAGGAAAGCCAGGATAATTTTCTACATCGGTAGTTGTAGTAAGCTGTAAGTTATAGAAACATGTTAACGCGAGATTTCTTAAAATATCGATACTAATTAGTTTAATAAACCAGGAATTATTTGTACTTGACCACCGGGAGCAAAGCCGTTCGCAAAAAGTCCTTCAAACATAACCGGTTCTAGAGTTGCTCGGGACAAGTAAAGTGCTGCAGTGTGTCCCGCCGGACCTGAACCTATAATCACAACTTTGGAGTGCATGTTTCTTTGAACTGTTAAAAGACGTGACAAAACGTGTTGGTTATTTGGTCTAACAGCTAACGTGAATCTGGAAAACAACGACATTTGAAATGCATAAATTATTTGCAAATTTATAAGAAACTTTTTATGGTTGTGTTACCCGCCACATTGCCATCATACAATATCAGAAACTATCTGTTTATAGTTTAGTTACTTTATCAATTTTTGCGCAAAGACGCGGAAAAATTTTGATACATCATTATATATATTTGTTTATTGACTAGAGAATAACAAATAAAATAAATTGAAAATTCTATAGTGCGAGATACTTAAAGACTTCACAAACTTTAAATGCTAATAATATTTAATAGAAAAACAATATAAAAAATATGCCGATATTTTGTAGTTTAACTAATTTACTACAACTTAACGGCTTTATTTTTTAATTAATGAGTTTAAAGATACAAATTTGACTAAAAATGGGACAAGTCACATGTTTTGGCTTACTATTATTGGTTATTTTTTTTTTTTAGTGTTCAGGTGGGGTCTTGCCCATGACTTTATTTATTAGTATTACTCATTACATACTGTATATTAGAACCCCAAAGAACTCTGATACAACTTAGACCAAAATTTAAAATTTTAATAATATAAATACAATGTTTGATGAATTTCTACACAAAATTTCTTTTTTTAGTAATATTCAAGTTATATTAGAGTTTTTCAAAGTTTTTGTATATTGTTATACAGTCAATTCTTTCTATACTGAACTTTAGATTTTGGTCAAAAAAAAGTTTTTTATATAGAATTATTATGTTAATTTTGCTATCTATTTCTTTTGAGGTATCTGGTAGTTGTTGCTATTAAATACTATAGGCTTGGCTAATTGCTGTTTGTATTTATTTGTAGTTTTTGATTAGTTATACACAGATGAAGTTTTGATTGTATTTTATTATTTAATATACTTTAGTTGTATAGTAGCTGTCTAAAATTGGAGTTTGTATGATATTTTATTATTAAATTTTGTCTTAATTTGAGTTAAATTGTATTTTGAATTTGTTTATTAGTTAGTATAATTCAATTTTTTTTTGTATTTAGTGATAGCAGCTTTAAGTAGATTAGCAAATTTTTTTAGTATGCAGGTGTAGTTTGTTTGTTTTCAATAAAGAAAATAAAAAATGCAGAATCTAAATATTTAAATTTTAGTATAATTGCTTATGAAATATAGTGTTATGCAAATTGAATTATTAGTTTATATTGTATAAACTCTTTAATGCTATTAGTATCATCTAAAAATGTAATAATTTTGTCTAGTAGCCAAATTCTATAGTTAAACTTATTTTGGTTTTATTTATCTAGTTCTAGAAATTTGTGTTTAATTCAGCTTTGTGTTTATACTTGTATTGTCTCTTCATTTATTTGTATTTAATCATGTTGGAATATGTTTTGTTACAATATATAACTATATAATTTTTGTCAGATGTTATTAGTTTGGTCTGTATATTTGTTTTGGTATAAGTTGCATATGTTATATTTTCTGTATCTAGTTGTATTGATATATATATATATATATATATATATATTTTTTTTTTTATTTTTATTTTAATTTTAATTTTGTCAGTCTCGCGGTATCTTTATTAGATTAAAGCATATACATATATATATATTTAACTATCTAAACTACAGATCTGACATTCTCCGGCTACTCTATTGAGTACCCAAAGATGGTCTGTCTCACTGGTTGAGGCAAATTACCCACACCGGAAGACTGCACCAAGCTACCCTGTGAAGCCATACCAGAATGGCTTTGTTTTATTTTTAATAAAGCTTTTTATAGCTCCTAATCAAGTATTTTTTTTTTCCTTAATTTCCTCCTCTTTACTTTCATCATTTTCTTTTTTCTTAACTTTACCCTTGGTTTGATCTTGACTGTTTTCTCCTAACAGAATCAGTTTTTTCTCCTTAATACTGGATTTTAACTTTTTGAAAGTGGTGTTTTTCTCTTTCTTTTCTTTTGGGCTTATGCCTTTCTTCTTTTCCCAGTTATTTATATATGCACATCTTGGTTTCTAAATATTTTCGTAAAAAAGAATCTATGCTGTATTAATTATTGTATCCAAGTAGTTTCTAAATTCTTTTAGGCTTTCTAATGTTTCAAGGATTCTTTTTGCAATCTCTTTCTTGATCAACCTTTTAAGTATACCAGCTCTGGCTTCAATTCTTTCTTCTTCTGATAAATCCCAAAGAATCTTCCGGAGTTGAGCTTTGTCATATTGACTGCAAGTTTCTTCTGATAAGGCTGTCTAGGCTAAGTTTGAGACTAGTTGCTCTGCATCTTTCCATTTAGCTTTATATTTCTCACAAGTTGTCAGATGTTCATAGTCTTCTTCTTTGTCTTTTTTACATATTATACATGCACACAATGTCATTGTGGGGGTTTTGGGACAAAGTCCCAATTCCCCCACGACATTGTGTGTTGTGTGTCTTTCCAGCTTCAGGAAGCATATCGATTTTTCTTATTATATTAGAAGAGCTTCTATCTACTCTAGAATCTTAATTTTGATATTATATTTCTTAATTCTGTATGGCTTCTCCAACCTCAGAAAAACATATCGATTTTTCTTATTATATTAGAAGAGCTTCTTTCTGCTCTAGAATCTTAATTTCTATATCATTTTTTCGGTTATATTTATTAAGTCTAACTAAATATTGTATATCAGAAATTGATTCTGCGTGATTTTCCTTATTAAAATCTAACCAAAATAAGTCTAACGGTCCTTATTACCCCATAAATAAGTTTAACGAAAAAATTAAGTCTAACCAAATAAGTCTAACAGTTTTTGTCCTAACTTTTCTTTAATCAAGAATTGCTTCTGCAAGGGTTTGCACATTAATTAGCATATCGAAAAATCATGTGACCTTTTAAATCTAACAAATTTTACTATAGACAAGAATGGCTTCTATACAAGCTAGCTCATTAAATTGCATAATCTTTAAATAAATCTAACGAGGTTTTTGTCTCAACTTTTTCTAAGTCAAGAATGTGTTCAGAGTAGGCCAGATTACTATATAGCATAACTAATATTTAAGAAAAGTCTATATCAGGAACTACTTCTAAGCGAGCTAGCTCTTTGAAAAAGTATATTAATCTTTAAGTCTACCGAAAAAATTTAAGTTAATTAAGTTTCCCATTAATAAATCTAACGAAAATTGTAAATAAAGGATTGGTTTTGGGCAGGCTAGCTCTATAACCAGCATGTTTTATATAAAAGTCTAACGAAAATATCTCCTGTAAAAATCCAGAAAAATCCGCGGAATTGTCACAACTTTTTCTTAGTCAAGAACAGGTTCTGCGCAGAATAGCCTAATAAATAGCATATAAATTTAACGAAAAAATTTAAGTCTAACTATTCAATCCTGCCAGGGAATTTTATAAGTCTAACAAGAAATATATATTAGGAATTGGCTTCGTGCTGGCTAACTTCTTATCTAATACATTATTCATTTAAGTCTAACGATTCAACCCTACTGGGGAAATTTATTCTGGCTGGCAACTATCACAATATTCTCCCTCATCCATTTTTATTGGAAGGAGGTATATCCTGCAGAGAGTAATATTAAGAATTGCAAGCCTGTCTCTATGGGCGAACATTAATTGCTCAAAAGTTTCTTTTTGCATGTTTGATCGAAGACTTTTTTGTATTTCTTGTATCACTAATCGAAGTCTTTCTCCTATTTCTGATCGAAGACCTTCTGATCGAAGTCTTTCATAGTATTGAGTAACATAATAACCTCTAACATGATCTGGGCATCGGCCACAAGCAGAAGCTGTAGGCTTTCCACAATCAGAGCATGGTACCCGTTTTTTAGCTTTCCAATGAAATCGGCAACCTTCTGGGCGAATGCAAGGGTTATTACAAGCCTTTCCGGTATTGCAGAGAAATGGGCAAGAATATTCGCTGATCATCCTTTTTTTTATTATTAGAATCGAAAAGATTAATTAATAATTAGTTAATGCTTCAGTTTTGCAATAGCTAGAACCGCTTTGGAAAGCTTGTAAATACTTATCTTCGGTAGGATTTCTATAATCGAAAAGTGATATGTATATAGGAAATAATTAATTAAAGAAAAAATTATATAAGCAAGTAATAGTGCGACGGTTAGAGCTAACACCATGGTCAGAAAAGCAAGAAGTGATAAGAAAGGTACAACCTGTAAACGTTGTGGACGAGAATGCTCAACTCCTCAAAAACTTCGTGAGCATCTTAAGCGAAAAAATCCATGCAAACCATTACAAAAGCAGAAGAAAGTAGCTTCTATTCAAACTCCAATTCAGGTGCCTATTCAAGAAGCTAACCAACAGGCTTCCGAAATCAAAGCACAAGTAGAAAGCTCTAGTGTAAATATGAGCAACAAGAAGAAGCCACATGTGGTAATTCCAACTTTAGTTCCTGAACTAGAACCCGAAAAGGAAGCTCCAGTACTTGGTGTCGACTACATCACAGAAGAGGAGGCAAAGAATTGGATCAGTCCAAATGCACGAAAGCCCAGAGAGCGAATTAAGACATGGGGAGCGAGATTGCAAAAACGTTGGAATGAATTAGATCTAGGTGTTGAGCTATGTGAGGCAAATGATCTAGATGGTTGTAAGACCCTTTTCCATGATCTTGAACTAAATGATCCAGAGGCAGTTCGTCTACCAACATTAAAAGAGTTAGAGAAATATGAAAAGATATTAGAGCCTAAAGCTGGCCCTGGACCTAGAACACAAGCTCATAGGAATAATAAATCTAAGAATTTGATTAATAAAGAATTTGAGCGCTTAGGAGAAATTACTGATGAACAAGAAAGAGACCTAGAATTTAGGGAGCAAGAAGAATTAGGCACGGCACTCAAAAGAAGAGCTATAGCCGTACATCGTGCAAAAGTTCCTAGATCTCATTCAGATAATGGAAGTGATATACGAAAAATGTTAGAAAGCTGAAGAAAACAATTTAAGGAATTACTTGAAAAAGAATTTGACAAGCGTGGGCAATTCAAGTTCGCTCTATGTTCTCTTACCAAATTTCTTATAGATGATAAACCTAGAAATGAAAAACAAGGAAAAAAGAATTCACGAACTGACTGGCTTAGAAATAAGCAAATTATAGTCTACAATAGAGCTGAAATAGATGACTACTTAAGCGATGCCTTCGAACAAATTCTATACCAAGTGGAGGAGAGAGGAGGTAAGTCTAATGCTTGAGAATATATTTGGGCGGTAAGACTGAATCTGGCGGGACGATTTGTAGTTCTTCTCTTACAAATGAGCATCTAGGACTATTGTAAAGCTTATATAGAATAGGTTGATTTTCTTTTATTAAATAAGAATCAATTGTAAAAACTTCGGGAGACCAATTGCAATCAGTTGCTCTTCTTCTACCACCTTCTAATTCGCCGGGTTCCAATAAATGCCGAACTTCAGTATAGCTAGGTAAAAGTGGTTCATTATAACCAACTGGTCTCCTATGTTTGACAGAAGGTCTAGCTATTATTTTTTTACCTTTTAATGCCTTTTTTACAGCCTCGTTAGGAGACATACCTATTAACTTAGTGGGTGTATTATTATAATTATCATCATTTATACGAAGTCCCTTAACCCATGCTCTGGATCTATCAGTCAAAGGCAAATGAAAATCTACAGCATCTTGCCGAAAATAAGCATGCTTTTCAAATTCTTGATGGTCACGTTCAGCAATAGCTACACTACGTTTAGAATTAGCATACTGAATTTTTACACCATGTCTAAGTAATAATTCCCTACACTCGCTTATAAATTCAGTACCTCTATCAATAATTAAAACATTTGGCCAAATAAGAGGGCAGTTTGGGTCATCATAAATTTTCTGAAATGCTTTAGCCACTTGTGCAGATGATTTATTGGTTAAAGCAAAACTACAGCGAAATCTAGTAGCCACATCTTTTATTACAAGTCTATGCTTATAAATTCGATTGCCTATTTTACAATGAGAAAGTGGTGTAGTATCAGATTGATGCACATCATTTAGATCTTGTATATCATTAAAAGAAGCATACTGAATAAATTTAGGACGGGGTTTGTGAATCTGATGTAAAGCCTGCTTGTTTAACCATTTTTTTATTACGGCTAAAGTGAACTCATATCCCACCTTCTTACAAGCATCCTGCATTTTTTCAGCAGTCCGATAATATCCCTCAGGTCTGTAATAAAGTTTCTGTAAAGTAAGATCGCGATCTAAGTCTCGAGCTTTCTGAGGATTGATATAAATAATTGGTTCTCCCATTCCAATTTTTTATAATTACGAAAAAAAGCTAGCATCTATAAAGTCAGATTCTATTCATTAGCTGAAGCACTTTTTTCCTTGCGCTTCTGCCTAGCCTCTATCTCCTTTTGCAAGATCAGTGGAGTGTCAAACCTTAGGCGGATTGCAAGGGGATTATCTTCTGGCCTAGTGAGATCAAATACAACAAACTCGCCTTTTCGAAGGTAACTATTAATAACCATGGATGCACCCTTTACATCATCAGTATATCGTCCAACAATCTTAAACACGTCTTGGATACTGCTACCAGAGTTAAATAATACTAAATGAGTCGAGTTTTCACGTTTGAATGTATCGACTTTATGATACTTTTGCGTAATATATATACATGAAATATTTCGGTGACGCCCATTCCCAAAAAACTGACCAATACGATTTTGTATATGATCTGGAGCGAGGCACAGATCCTCAAAAATAAATAATTTACTTCTTTCGGGTGAGAATGTTCTTGTACTAGGAATTCTTTCGGGTAGAATATAACTGAAACTAATATTCTCATAGTAAGGTGCTCTTGGGTCTTTCGAAATCGTATTATATATGTATCTCACATATGCCCACTTCGGTTCATCAGGATGATACCCACAAACAATTAGATCATCACATTTGATGTAGCGAGACCCACCTTTCTTCCCTCTTTGCACATATTCATCCTTATCACCAAGAACAAGATTCGCAAGTAAATTA